AGAAACATTTCTCAAAACATGAAAAAAATAAAAAGTGAGAGCATGTAAGGGGTTGAGATGATGATGTTGACTTTACTGGCCTGTAAACTATGCCTGCAGCAGCCAAGAGCTTAATGTCATATAAACCAAGAGAAATGAAAGAGAAGCTGTATCTACAGGCTACATGATGCAACTGGTGAACAGCTACTCAGATAGCAGGGTGCTCTGTGTACATTAAGGGCCTACAGATAGAAATGCCGTGTAAAGGAATCATTGCTGGCACACTGACACATGCTGGCAAATTAGACTGTACTTGGAAGGATAAGAATCTACTACAGCTCTTTAAAATCACCCCTGTCGTGATCACCTCATGATAAAAATATTAGTTTCTCCAGTGTAAATAAAAGTGTAGCACATTTCCCAATGAATCTTTTGAAGTAAAACCAGATTGGTGTGTAAGAGTAAACCAAGTGGGAACAACCTGTCAACCTGTGTTACCAGACAGAGCTCAGAATGAAATGGGAATGGCAGCACCTTTTCAGGTTTTACAGCCACCTCTTTGCTTGACTTTTGACAATTATTTATTACTGCTAATATTGTGCTTTGTAAACTTATGCAGTGCTTTATGAAGTAAGACATGTTTCCTGTTTTAAAGGTTTTATAATCTCGTGGGCTGATAAGGGGTGCAGATTATCCCTTGGATGTTCATAAACAGCATTAGCACTAAGAGTTTTATTAGTGCTGGGTCCTTTCAAGCCTGTGGCTCTTTCTTTTTAATGACACTTTCCTAGTCAAGTACCCAAATCAGGATTTCAACACCTTGATCTTCCAGGCTGGAAAAGTCTGGGCATTCTTTTGTTCTGCTTGTAGGGGAAGAGCAAAACCCAAGCAGAATCCCAGAGTTGTTGCTCTGCATGGATTTAATCCGCTGCCGTTGCTTGCCTCTCTCTCTGAGACTACAAATCTGGGTTTTGGGTGATGGCAGCAGAGAGCAAGCTTGGGAGGTGTGTGTGTTTTAAATAAACAAACAATGGAACAGCAACTTCAACAAACTGTGAGTGGTGCTAATTTGTTATAGGGCTGTCTTGCCTTCTGGCAGTGTTGATTTAGGAGAGGCTGAGCAGACTGGAACGGATGCGGGGAGCCGCTGGTTCTTTCGCTCTGGGGTGTGTATATGGTTCAGTAGAAAATGCTTTGAGGGGTCCTGTCCTGAGGAGCTTTCAAATTACAGAGTAAAGCACATGCATAGGCTGCCAATCTCCTTTTCAAAACCAAATCTGGGACAGAAGTACCTTCCCCTCTGCCTTGCTCTTCCACTTCCGCTTTTTTTAAATGGAGAGATGCTTTAAGTCTTGATTCATGACAAGTACCTACAATTTGTGTGTTTTGAGGACTGCCAGAAAACCCTTGACAATGATAGTGTCTAGGGCAGGGAAGGAGGAAGATCCTGTGCTTTGGATTATAGCAAAGTTTTCAACACCCCACGGCCTTGGTGGGCTGCAGTCCCCAAAGCTGAGAACCTGACAGAGGGCCTGGCCGAATGCACAAGGTATCTGCAGCCCTGGACCACTGTTGTGCAGCGCTGCAGGATACAGATGGCAGGATGGGAGCCTTGCTGGGAAGAGGTGGATTTTGGAAGTGTAGAGTGACCTCCCTGCAGCCTCTGAGCTGAGTTTAAAGAAAGTCTGAATTCTCAAGTGAAGATGACAGTCAGAATGAGAAGTCATGCCTGAGGAGAGGCAGCCAAGGAAACAAAGAACTTTGAAAACGAGTATACCCTGTTTTCCCCGTAGGTTATCTTCAGTTCAGATAGATTTGGATGCAGAGCCCAGCACAGTTTGCAAACCTAGGCAGTAGTGGCTTTCTGGCATCTTCTCATTTGCCAGGCTCAGAGCTGCAGAAACACTTTTTGGTGGTTGCAAAGAACCAAATCTATGAAGGTTGAGTGGTCAGTTACACATCTGATTTGGAGGAATGTTTGGCAGGCAGCAGAGACTTGATACTGCCAGGACCAACTCTTAAACAGGGGTTTTCCTGAAAGACTTCACTGAAGTGAAACTTAGACAGAAAGATTTCTCTGGGAAGTAGAGGGCTGAGTACAGGGTCAAGTTCCTGGGGGGGGGGGGGGGGGGAAGCGGATAAAGTGCAAAAGGTGCTGTATTTAAGGCATTGTTTATTTATATTAGAACTGTTTCTGCTGCATCCATAGGTACAAATGAGATAAAGGAGTGAGACTTGGTCTTGTAGAAGAAAACAAGACAGCAGAGTTTGTTCCTGTCCTTACTGGTATCTGGCATGTGGTGAGAGAGATGACATTTTGGTCCAAGGCCGTTACTACCCATGTCCATGACCTGGAGGGTCAGAACGTTCCTTTTTCTCTGCCATGCCGTGTGCTCTTGCCCTAGAGCAATGCTCAGCATGAAGCTGCCATCCTATGCCCTCAGTGCCGACTGTGCCTACCATACTGGACAGGGCCTAGGCTTTTAGGACCAGAAGCATCTTGTCACACCATGTAATTCATAGAGCTGTGGATTCTGCCTAACACTCTCTAGGATTAGCTGGGAGGTAGCAACAATCCTTTAGTCATGTCCTAAATTCTTGCATTGTAAAGGGAGAATTCTGTACATCAAGGTTCAAAGGTACCTGGGAAACTGAGGAATTTTGCATACCAAAGGCGCCTTAACTGGTGGATGGGTGGAGGGTATCCCTCCTGTGTGGGCTGAGCTACTCCACTGAATATGTGGGTATTTTAGTGCAATAAGGAGTCATTAGATTAGCATGGGACATCAGAACTGCTTTTCCTATTTGCAATGCAGGTACAGTTGGAACTGAGCTTGCTCAGTTGTTGCAGGGCTGCAGAAGAGCCTAACATCTATTGCTGCTCGTTAGTTTCTGAGGCTTTATTTGTTTCGTGCCACTGCTGTGTTCCTGAGATCAGCTGTGCTCTGCAGATATGCAGGAATTTTTAGTGCCTGGCTCTGCCTGACAAGACCTGCAGTGTCCATGCCTCTCCTCTTCTCCTCCCACTGAAGGGTTTGGGTAGTCATAGGTTCCTTCATATCAGCAGTAAAAATATATGTATAATATACAAGGGTTCTGGTTAGGAATTGGCAGGAAACTTCATTTTTGACTGCAGTCTGATATTCTAACAGTAGGAAACACCTTTGTTTTAAGCAGTTCTCTGCTAATCATTGCCCTAGAGGGGAAATAAAACTACTGAGAAGAGCTTCTTACTTCACAGGAGCAAGAAGCCAACTGCTGTAATCTGGGTGTAAATCTGCATTTGAGCTGCTGTTCAAGAAATATCCTTTTGTAACATTCAGCCTTTCCTAAACAGAGCATTGCTGCTGTTGCTGAGTGTTTTGCAGTCCTGATGCTGGCAGATGCAGCCAGCAGTATGCAGCTTGCATGCATTCTAGAGTGTGTGATCACTTGGGGAGGGGGGAGCTCCAAATCCCTGGGGCTCTGGCCCTAATGTTTAAAGCTGCATGCTATCTAAACGTGTTTGGTCTGTTCATGCTGGCAGTTGTCCGTTCAGACTGGTTCAGCAAATGCTCTTGGCTCAGCATAGCCCAGGTCAGTAAGCAAACACTTGCTTACATTTCACTTCTTCATTGTATTGACAAGATTTAGAAATCTTCAATCTATATCAGTCAAAACAGGGCAATCTGAATACAAAAGACCTATTAGTTCAGTGTGAAAAGGATTTAGTTACAGAATTGTGGGGATAAGAATGCAGGTGGGAATGATGGAACACTGTCCTGGGCTTGAGCCCAGCAAATGTCCAGGACAAATGAGGAACTATCTCCTTAGATTCAGCGTCCCTTTCACAAAGACCCTTTCTATTTCCCAGGCCACTGTCCTCCTTTATGTTCTCTTTTGTCCAGCTACATTAATTACTGTAAGTCTTTTTCATTTGACCTCTTACCTTTTAAGGTTGAAATAGTAGTCAATATTCTTTTAACGTTTTAAATGTAAGATTTCTGTCTCTAACAGCACAGCTAGAGACGTGCAACCATCAATGTGACAAGAGCTGTGCTGAAGTTTCACTTCACTATGAAGGTCTAAAACCCTATTTTAAATCCCTGTGAGGCTGCAGGCTTGTTTCTGTTCTGCTTTTTGTGTTGTGGGTTTGTTGTCTTATTTTTTTTCCCCATTGGGGCAGCATCACCACCTGTAGAGAGGGACCAGTCCTTAGCATCTACCCTGAGACTGCCTGGAGCTGATGACAGGAATTCTGGGGAAGGGAGGACAGGCACTGCAGAGGATACACTCAGCTTATCAAGCCTAGGGTATCTGTGGGATGTGCTTTTCCCTGACATGGAAAAGATGATGTTGCTTTTTCCTTTGGGCAGGGAAGGGTGAAATTACAGATCTGAAGTTTTGCGACTCTCATACCACCTGCAGTTCCCCATGAATCAGCTCGATCCCCAGTCTCCAAGAACCTACATTAAATTAGCAGTGAAGCATTGTTATGAGTAGAAGATACACACTATTTTCTTTTCTCGTCTTGCCCCACAGATGTAACAAAAACCTGTCTCAATGCCGTAACATCTCTAGAAGAACAGGATTGTGAAGGCTTGGGAAGGGGAACTGGGAAATTGGGACAACACACATGATCAGTATTGAAGTGTTCCTTTCATTGCCTTTACTGTGTGGGGAACGAGACCATGAAGCTCTGGCGCCAGGGCTTTCTTGTAGAGGCATTTCTAAATGGTGATATTTAGTTTCCTGAATTTCCAGGCAGAAGGAAGCTGGTACAGACATCCTGGGATCTGCTGTTCTTGGATACACATGGACTGGTCCTCCTGAAGCTCAGTGCCATTGGGAGCCCTGACTGGAGGTGGCCAGAGTCATCAAGAAACTTGCAGAGGCCTTCTGCTGTGTTTCTGTCACAGTTCAGCAGTGCTGGGGAGCTGGGTGGAGGGGAGGTTGTTCTGGTAGTTACATATATAAGGCAGGTGGCCGTTTTAAAATGTACCTTTCAATTTTGATTGCAGTTTTTTAATTGCATTTAACAGCGTCCCTGCTGGTTCTCCATTCTGCATCCGTGCAGCCACGTTCTATTGATGGCCTGTTGTGATTTCAATGGAACATCATGGGATGTACCTGGCACGTCGGGCAGCACTGGATGGAGGTGCCTTTAGCCCAATGTACCTGGCATGGTAAGCAGCAACCAAGTGGTTAATCTGCATTCTACTGCTCATAGTCTCAGCTTGTATAGCAAGGTGTTCCTGCTTTGCTGCAGCCTTGCACTGACTAGAAATCACTTGCTCTCCTGATGTTAGTGCTTTCGTGCACACAGGGCCCTTACCCTTTTCACCCATGGAGATTCCCCTTCTCTGGGCAGTTTGCCATGCAGTAGAGAATGGCCTAGCCATGTTAGGCTCTCCTTGTTGTTCTAGAACAGGAAAGAGAAGGGACTGGCAAATCATTTGACTCTTCTCTCTTTTTTGGGCCAGGAGCTGGTAGCAGTTGAGCATGTATTGCCCATGTACCTAATGTCCAAACGCTGCTGCACAGAGGTACCCAAAAGGTGCTTGTGTCCATAAGCAAGGCCATACTGTTTCTGCATGAGTCCTGCTAGAGCTGCTTCAGGGAGCTGGGAGGGAAGTTCTGCCTGGCACTAATTGGATTGTAACAAGCTACACAATGGCCACTTTTAAGTTTGCTGATGTGGTATCCTCTGTGAAAAGATCCTCCATTCTCCTTCCTTCCATGTCCAAACCTGTCACATGAGCTGCACACCCTGCTCTGTCCTGCATGTCACTTCCTCTCCCTTCCCCAGCTCTGCAGACCTCTCCCTGAGTAACTTGACACGTTGGTCTTACCTATTTTGAAGTGAGTTATTCTGGTGAGAAGAACAAGGGTGCTGCATCCTGTTTTCTGCTTGAGCCCACACCACAAAGCTTTTGCTGCTCCACTGCCAATGATGAAAATGCATGTTCTTACCTCTGTTTCCGAGTTCTGCTGTCTGCCTGCTCACAGGGGATGGGGATAGGGAACCCTTTGGGCTAACACAGTCCCTGCATTCCTCCCCATGCCTCTGCTGCTCTGGAATGTGAATACCTTTAAAAGGCATGGGCTAATGACTGGACTACTGCAGCTCCTGGGGGGAAGCCCACTTCACTGATACGTTGCAGAGTCCTGGAAATAGGTTCTGTTGAGATGTGGGGAGAGAAAGATCAGATGAGCCAGAAAGCAACAGGAAAGCTCTCTTCCCAGTGGGGTCCTCAAGTGCAGCGAGGAAGTTAGCTCATCTGAAACTGGAGAGTGCAGAAGTCACCTGTTTCAGTTTCACCCAGGTCCCATAGCAATTGGACACAGCATTTTTAATGTTGGAAGTAAACTGGTGGGAAAGAGCAATGCAGGAAACAACTGATTTAATTTTGTCTTGTTCTTCCCCACACTCACTGCTGCAGTGTCTGCTCAGCACAGCACAACTGCTTGGGAAGGCGGAGAAATAAGTAAGCAGGCCACTATCTTGCCCTAGGTATATTATAACATGCACAGTAGGCTAATGCTTTAACAGCATCTAATGTGATACATCACATCTAATCTGTTTGTTGGTTTTTATCTGCAGTACTGTTAGTTCACTGTTCAGGTGCTCGGTGTCTAATCTTCTCATCCATCCACAAATCCTCTACGTGAAATGAGTGATTCCTTAGATCTGTTTTTGATTGATTCTTTGCTTCACTGGTGTTGCTTCTTAAAAGGTAAACAATATTCATATGCTGCAATCTATAACACAGAGATGAAATCAAATAGCATCTCCTGCCAGAGGTTGCTAAGATAACATATTTAGCATTCACTCAGGAATTTCTTTTAGGAAAAGATTTAGTGATATTAAAGAAAATCAGATCTGCAGTGAATATGTAGATTTTTACTATTTAAAAGGGTGAAGGGACTCCTGTCTCCTGTACTTTGGCAATGTAATATTCTGTGATGTCCAGAGTCTTTGCGGAAATGGAGAGAAAATGAAGTTTTTCCTGCTTTGTAGTGAGAGCAGCTCAGCTCCTGGAGCTGTCTGTGTGTTCTGCACAATCTTCATGCCCACAGGATCCCAGTGTGCCCCAGGCTGGGCACAGCAGCTGTCAGTTACCCACCTCCTTGGGCAATAAGCTTATGAAGATGCTGTCGGCTCTTAGCTTGCAAAGCTTTGTTTGATGTGTGGCATCTGCTTGCAGCATTACTGTATTCTGTGATTTGTGCCCTGTATTTTTTATGTCTTTGCATGTGCTGTGTGTCTCAGTGTCATGGATATGGTGGAGGTAGTGGGAGCCTCAGTCTTGCTTCATTTCATTGCCTACTTGCATAAGAATATTTGAGCAGGTTCATTGCTCTGAAATCTGTCTTGAATGCCTAGGAAGCAATCTGAATCTAAAACCAGGCCATCTCTAATGCTGTTTGTCCAAAGCCTTCTGTGATCCTGTTTTAAATGCTAAGGAGTGAAATTCTACACACCAAATTCAATGATAAAAAGACTTGGCTCCAGTGAGACATCTACATACTCTTGGGCTTTGGGTTTTTTACTGGAAATGCACCTGAGCATTTCCTAAGGCAGGGCTCCCCTGAAGTAGGAATATGGTTTTTCCTGTCTTTTTGAAGAGAACAGAAAAGGAAGGGTTACAAATGACACTGAGATACAAGAAATACAAACCACTGTGATTTTTCAGGGCTTTGGGGAGCTTCTGCTGTCATTAGTGGTGGTGGTGATGTTATCCAAATGCTCAGGGTTTGTTAAGAGCCAACTGGAAACTGATGGATAGCAAGGCCTTTGCAAGGCTGTATCTGCCATTTGTTTGGGAAGATCTGCTAACTTTTATACTGGACTTAACCTTGTAGTTGTGTCTGGTCCCATGCTTCAAGCTAGAAGTGAGATTTTAGGAATGCCATAGATTAAAGGAATAATGCCTGTTTCTCTTTTGCTAACAAGTTTTCCAACACCCCTCTTCCCCCACCTCTGAAATGCATTAAAGAAGGGTTTGTAACTGGTCAGCTCTGGAAAATACTTGGAATGAATTTAGTTTTGTTCAGGACTGCACAAGACACACAAGCCAGGTTGATGCTGTAAAGCTGCTGTCGGTCAGTCAGAGGTGTGTTCTCTGACCACGTTGCTGCCCTGGGCAAAGCCCTCGGTGGGCAATTCTGGCAAAATTTGAAACATGGGGCTCTAAACTTGGCTGAAGGTTTTGCTGCCTTTTCCCATCACATTCATTTTATTGGGATTGCTAAATCCATGATAGACTTCACCTGGCAAATGCAAATCTGACAGGCAGTGTTACAGTGCTTAAACCTGACCACTGCTTTTAGAATGTACTAAAGGTAATACCTGACCTCACACTTACATGCTACTGAACATGAATACTTCTGTACAATTTGACATGTGAGATAAATAGAGGTAATTTAAACAACTTGTACCATGCTAATTTTTATGCAGCAGAACGTACTGAGGTTTAATAATATTATTTTCCTCATGAAGGTCACTAAAAAACAGACTTAAAATTCTTCCCATTTCCAGGGCTTTCCCTACAGGCTTATTACCTGTTCTCAATATCATTTAAGGCAGAAAGAAAGAAAAAGGAAATGAAAATGTAACCATATTTTCTATTAGTAACTGCAGCAAGTCTTTACTGTTTGCAAAGACTTAGACAAGTACATACACAGAGGTTTCTAGACCTCTGCTTCAAGTACCACATGAATGGGAAATAAGCTCGCTTTTACTTCAGTAACACGCTTTTCTTTTTTTATTAGTCTGTTTAGGAAAAATATATTGGCTGTGCTGTTTCCTTTCCTTTACCATATTTGTACTTTATGGAGCACATAAAAATCATATCCAGGGATTTTGTGTGTTATATGCATGGAAAAGCCACCATTATGTTTGTAGTGAAAATAGTGTAGGAGTAGGCTGTCTCGTGCTATTCTCAAGCAGGATGCAATTGTGTATATATAGATGCTGTGTTATGTTACAGGCCGTGTTTTTGTCCTTCCTTATCAATATATCTTGGTGACCCAGAAGTAAGTGCTTTTACTGGCCTGGCTAGATAAAAGTGGGTATTTGGTGCCTCTGTGCTGTTGCTCCCTCCTCTTAATCAGCAATTCTGGAAGCAAGCCACTAGAACCAGACACATTGCCTGCATGCTGCAACTCTGATGTAACTCATTACAGCAAAACTTGCTTTTAAAGTGCTCAGCACTGTTCGCTGATGGTAATCCCTGTCTCTATCATGTTTTTGGGATGCTGCAGGAAGAGTTTCTGTGACAGAAACACTACAAATGATGAAGAAATAGCTGGCAGCACCATGGCAAGCCTGTAGTTCCTCCTGTTGGCTGCTACCCTTTCTAAAGCCAGCCATCTCTGGGAACATTAACGTGTACAAAGGCACAGTGGTGAATCCACTGTCTTCTTGGGTTACCATCCATTGCTGCAATAATATAGAACACAAAAGCAGAGCAACTATTTCAGCTGCGGGTCAAGGCAATGAGCCACTGAGATCTGTGTGGATGCTGGGTTAGGTGGTGGCGCACTGAACAGGGGCTACCAAATTCTACCAAATGTATAACCAAGTACCAGGCTGACCAGATAACAAAGTGAAGGAATTTGTCCTGTGGAGGAAGGGAAGCACGTGCTTGGCAGATCTGATATGCTGGAAGAAGTATAAGTACCAGGCTAGTCAGGCAGCAGCGCTGGAGAAAGAACTGTATTCCTTTACCTTTCAGTAGCTTTTTTCAGAAAGCAAAATCTTTTTGTTGTGCAGAAATGGATGATGTAAATTTACCACCTTTCTGCCAAATTAAATCTTCCTATTTATCACCAGTTAGTAAGAATCACCTCTGAGATTATTTTTAATACTGATAGTATCGCTCCTTATTTCTTTTGTGTACATACTTGACACAGAGGGAAGTCTAATGCTTCATCATCTGGAATGTGATGGGACAGAATGGGGTAATGGGACTCACAAGCAAGAAAGACATTAACTGATTATGATTTTAAGAGAAAATTTAAGCTCTTCATTTCTGTGCACTTATGGCCTGCTCCTCCTTCAGTAAGAGAAATCTGTTTCAATAACATGATAAACTAGGGAAAGAAGGAGGTGGAAGGCTAAATGTGGCTGTTGCATGTTTGGTATTTAATTCCTGTATTTGAACTCCAGAGACTATTTGAAATCACTCTTCACAGATAAATAAATGCCCATTACAAGTAGTAGGTGGCTCTTTCAAACAAAACCAAACCAAAAATAAAATCTTATGTTGGATTCCTGAACGCAGCCCCAGATTTAAATTCTGGTTTTTATGTGCTGTAGTATCTACCACACATGCAATTGCAATTAGTTCTGATATGCCTCAAACTAGGTATTTCCTACAGTCCATGCTACTGAGAAAATCAATGTAAGTATCCAAAATACATTGTGAATACTGTTTGTGAAATACATGAGCTACACAGAGATAGATAGCCACAATTTTCCCCTCTTCCCAGCACTTCAGAGTAGAGAGACTGTGACTTGTGTTAGTTACTTGACTCTTACCAGTCTGAACAAAACTCCTTCAAACCAAAAGGCAGGGCAGAATTAACTTAAGAAATCAGTTTCAGATTGTTGAAGACATTTGGTGGCATTTAGCTAGCTCAGCATCCTGAACTGCAGCCAGTTCAGGGTTGATTCTAGCCCTTCATGTCAATGGATTTGGGATATGGATATTGCCAGGGGGGTGTTTTTTAAGACAGCCTTTCATACTCTTAAGGAGATTCCCCATTCACACCTCAGTGTGATTAATTCCATCTTCAATGGATTTAGTTGCAACATGTCATTTTCTCAACTCCGGAGCAGCTGGGTGTTGTAGGATTTCAACATGTAAGAGCCAAGAATCAAGCTACATGTTAAAGCAGGGGAGCTGCAGCTTATGCGAATTATTTTACATGCTCAGATATGCAAATGGAAGTGAAGTAGATGCTGCTTTTTTCTTCCTTTTTTTTCCTTGCTCTTCATCCTCCCTTCAGATTTGTGTCAAGAGAGAGAAACAGCTTTCCCCTGTACCTAACTACTGTGTTCCTGCTGGTATTTTTTAATAGTAATTCCAGCCAATGACTGCTGCTTTTCTAAAGAGATATTTACAAATCTGATTTTTGAAAGACTTGAATCGAAGCTTAATGTGAGAAATAATTCTCCCTGTACTCCAAGCAGGGTCACAGCTTGCAGGGCTGAACATACCCAGAGCTCCTTAGTCAATGTCAAGCCTAACATTAACTGCATTAAGCCAGTCTATTAAATGTAGACTTGTTAGAGTTGAAACAGCAGGTTCACACCCTCTCATCCTCCTGTTTTGCAGGTGGTAAGGTGAAGGTGAAAGGAAGAGAAGGTGGAGATGGAACTGCCAAATCATGCCAAACAACTGCTACTGCAGCTGAACCAGCAACGAGCCAAAGGTTTCCTCTGTGATGTGATCATTGTGGTAGAAAATGCCCTGTTTCGTGCCCATAAGAACATCCTGGCAGCCAGCAGCATGTATTTCAAATCCCTTGTCCTGCATGACAACCTGATTAACTTAGACACGGACATGGTGAACCCCACTGTGTTCCGGCAGGTCTTGGACTTTATTTATACTGGTAAGCTCTTAACGACTGACCAGCCCGGTGAACAGAACTTTAATGCTCTCCTCACCGCAGCAAGCTACCTCCAACTGCACGACCTGGCAGCTCTCTGCAGAAAGAAGCTGAAGCGGAGCAGCAAGTCCTTTGCTGGCAAGGCCGGTGGCCTTGGTGTCGGGAGATCTGCCAGGAGTCAGAGACTTTCCACTGCTTCGGTCATCCAAGCTCGCTATTCAGGGTCAAATGAGGGGTTGAAGGGCTCGCACTCAAAAGAGCTGTCAAAGGGAAAGCTCTCCGATGACGAGGTCTTCATCAGTAGCTCCAACCAAGAGAACTGTCACTCCTTAAGCAGGGGAGCCAGTAAGAACGGTGGTGGGAGCGGCAGTGCGAATGGGAGCACTGGGGACCAGGAGCTAGGCCTCGATCTGTCCAAAAAAAGCCCGTCGCTCCCTGTTGCAGCCTCCCATGATGACACGCAGCACAGCGAAAGCCAGCATGGATCTCCCCAATCTGCCTCAGCCCCTGCAGCCAACAGTGCCTCATCGTTTGACGAGTCTGGAGTCGGAGCCCCTCACAGCATGGCAGACAGCAGCGACCCCATGGAGATGGATCTGAGCGAAGAGTGCCACCACTCACTGACGGAGAGCAGCCAGCGCAAGGGCCTCCGGCACTCCTCCCGCAAGAAGGAGTGGATCAAGAAAGACAATGCCTTCGACCGAAAGGAGGGGGGCAAAGACAGGGACGAGGGCGAAGGGCTGCCCAATGGTATCCTGCTGGGGCCCTTGTCCAAGTCTGTGGAGAGGAGTCTGGCCGGGGCCTACGGTGCAGACCTACCCTACCCGTGTAAGGAGGAGGTGGAAAATGGCAAGGAGAACAGTGACGACAGCGGCCAGAGCGAGAGCGAGAGCGGCGGGCATACGAGTGCCAACTACGTCTACCGGCAGGAGGGGTTTGAGCCAGTGGCCTACGGTGACAACCTGTATGTCTGTATCCCCTGTGGCAAAGGCTTCCCGAGCTCTGAGCAACTCAACGCCCATGTGGAGACGCACACCGAGGAAGACCTTTACATCAAGGAGGAGGGCACATACGGCGGCAAGGATGAAGCCGAGGATTTGTCCAACCCCAACCAGTCCTACGCCGCGGAATCCCGACCTTTCAAGTGTTCAGTGTGTGAGAAGAGCTACAAGGATCCAGCCACGCTGCGGCAGCACGAGAAGACTCACTGGCTGACACGGCCCTTCCCTTGCAACATCTGCGGCAAGATGTTCACGCAGCGGGGCACCATGACACGGCACATGCGCAGCCACTTAGGGCTCAAGCCCTTTGCTTGCGAGGAATGCGGGATGCGCTTTACCCGGCAGTACCGACTGACAGAGCATATGCGTGTCCACTCAGGAGAAAAACCTTACGAATGTCAACTGTGTGGTGGGAAATTCACCCAGCAGCGCAATCTGATCAGCCACCTGCGAATGCATACCTCTCCCACATAAGCCAAAGACTCCAGAATGAGCTTCGAGCCCATCCGCAGTGATTTACCTTTCTGTAGACTTGCTGCTTAAAAAAAAACAAAAAGAAAAAAGAAAAAAAAAACCAGAAAAGGGGGCAAGTCCCCACACTCTGTTCAGTCATGGGAGGCCTAAACAAATGTAGCTTTAACATTTAAAAAAAAAAAGTTCCTTTTTTCCCTTTTTTTAAAAAAAAAGAAAGGTCCACAGCCAAGCTGATGCATTTAGTCCAACTCTCCTTCCAAATCCTGGTGATCTGGCAAGAAATGCCACTTCTTTTTGCACACATTGACTTCATCGTCATACTGATTATCTGGAGCAGGCAGGAGGGGGACCATGGGGAACCTTCTGCTGGCTCCCCACTCCCTGCCTCTTTCCCTCCTGTTACTGTCACCCTACTTGCCTCCTCTCTTAAACCCAAACTCATTAGGGACATTTCTTGCCATCAAAACCCCAGTAAAATACACCTTTCCAGTGGCCTCAGCAGCTGTGAAACAACACAGCCTTGCATTCACAAGTGCAGAAGCTGTGTCTGTGGACCATCTCACAGAGTTGGCAGCCCCTTCAGACACTGTGGGAAAGCCATAGCAGTGGTGGAACCCACCACCCTTCCCCTGGCCTGGCGATGGCGGGGAGTGCACCAGCTTGAGTGATGCCTCCCTCACCATGCTTTCCTCTTTTGGTTTTGATCTTTATCCTTGGCACACATAACCACACGCCACCTCCTTCCCACAAAACACACAAACCTCTTCTGCCTTACCCATGACTGAACAGGGCCTGGATGCCCTGGGAATTTCTTTCAGTGAGCAGGGGGTCGTCTTTACTTTTCTAGTAGTTTCGTATGAATATTCTTTGCTTAGAGGTACTTGTTTTATTAAAGGAAAACCCATTGTAACGTTTATGTGAATGTTTGAACTGGAAGGTCTGAGGTTAATTCTGGGGGGTGGGTTGGGAGGGGGTTTGATGTAGGCTGGACTTGCTACAAGTTCTTTAGGTACTTTTTTATTATTTTTTATTTTATTTTGTGTGTGTGTGTATGTTCTTAGCTTTCCTCCCTCACTAAAGAGCGAGTCTGTGTGGACAGGCTTGTTACCTTTGCTACCTCTTGACTTCATGAGAACAATAAGATGGTTAGTGAAAGATTAGGCTTTTTTTTTTCTTTTATTGTAAGTAATTAAATGTATAAAAGTAGAAGCTAAATTAAAGTTAAGGGATTTTTACCACCCCGTCCTTCCATCAAAAGTCAGCTAGAGAAATGTTAAAGCAAAGCTTGGCCAAAGACAAAGCAAAAAACATAGTTTGAGCCAGAGGTTGTGCTGGCTGCTTGGACTGGCTCATTCGCAGTCTCTTGGCTGGTTGTAGTCACTTTTAGATAAAAGAAGAAAACTTCTCTGAGCTTTTTGGGCCCTTTCCAGCTTTGTTTATTGAATCTGGATCCCATGGGGAGGGGAAAATGTCCCCCTCATCTTCCACTCCCCCAGCACATCTGGGTCAGTCTGTAAACACCTGGCAGGACAGAGGGTGAGGGCATAGCAGCCTATAATTTACTAGAATCCAGAGTGCAATAAGGTGGGGGAGAGGAGGAAAAAGCAAACCAAAGTGTTTCATATCCTCCCTTTTAGACAATTTAACACACGCACACAAAAAAAAAAAAAAAAAGGAAAAAAAAAGGATTAAAAAAAAAAGAAAAATGAAAAGAAAAAGAAACAAAATGTTCCTACAACATCTGCATAAGACATCACAGCCAACAGCTGCTATTGGTTTAGGAGAGAAGACAGAGAACTTAGCCCACCGATTCTTGGCCCCCTTGACTTTGTTGGCGTGACCTTGTGGAAAGCTATGGCTTATTTCAAGCCTCCCGTGACTGTGGTGGTAAAAATTCACAGCCAGTAGAATCACCCCTCCTGAACTGAGTCAGGTTTACACTTGTGTTTTCTCAGTTGTTTGTTCTGTTTGGGTTTTTCCCCCACTCAAGCCAGTTCAGTCTCTGCGGAAGGTTCTCCAGACCTCACGCTTTGTCTGTTTCAGAAAAGAAAACCAATTTTTTTAAAGTTTTGACCAAAAAAAGAAAAAAAAAAGAAAAAAGTGATCGTGTTTGACTAAAACAAAGGAATATAAGCTTCATTTTCTATTGGTTTTTTTTTGTTTGTTTTTTTGTTTGTTTGTTAAGGTAGACTAGTCCGTAAGAAGTTTTTGGGTCAATTGAATGAACTGAGGAAACTGGAACCCAGGCTCCAAGCAATAGAGATCCCAAAGGCCGAGCCTTGGCCTGGTGTTATGTTACAGGGAACACGCTGGCCCCTCTCGTGCCATGCTCCAGGGTGCTGCTCCCAGTGCCACTGTCTGCCTGCTCCGGACCCCGCGAGAGGGGAGCATGGATTTGTGTTTTTTCCTGACTGTGCTGAGATGCGCTGTTTTCTTGGGGGGGGTTAGGTGTGATTTTAGTGTCTTTAGCACTTCCACATTTTGATAATATATTGAATTCTTTTTTCCTTGATTCCTTGCCAAACCCCCCTGAGCACATCCCCAAAACAGCCTTTGGGGAGGACAGGGAGGGCCCTGCCATCTACCTTTTTCTCAGAGCAAGTCTCAGCAGGGCTGAGGGACAGCAGTGCAACATTAGTTCCTAGGCACTTTCACCCTGCCTTTATCTTCCCTCCAACCACCCTAAAGCTGAGCTGAATCCCACTCTGGCTCAGGCTGCAGCTCCCTTATGGGTTTGGGACGCTGGTCCCCCTGTTCCCTTGAGGCCAGCAGTGATGGGGGTGGCAGGAGGGGGGCTGCAGAAGCCAGCCCTGGGACAGCAGCTCAAGCTGTGACCCACTGAGCCAAGCCATGGAGCAGCCCAAGGCATGAGGAAGCAGTGAGCTCCTCAGCAGGCAAATAACCTGCTCCCCTCTTAACTCCATTTCTACAAGCATGTGCGTGGGTGATGTAGCCTCTCCCCTCCCAGGCCCCCTCGTTGTTTGTTTCTTAAGCCTTTGAGAATCACGTTGAAGTTTCAGGACCCAGTGCTATTTTTTAAAACCATTTTTCAGAGCATCTTTCTTTTTTAACTTGATCCCCTCCCCAGCACTTAAACCATACGACATAAAGTCTGTGTACAGCAAGAGTATTGTACAAAACCAGATTTTTGTTCTTTTGTTTTCAAGTAGCTGTGTAAAGTTGTGTTCCATAGATTGAGTATAAACAACATTTTCCAAATTGTGACAGTAATAATGAATAATACTCAAAGCTTCAGGGACTGTTTCAGGCCTGCTTGGGGCCTAAACACTCAACTGCATTTGTACGACATAGTATTGTATCAAACATTTTTCTGTATTTTAATGAGAAAGCAAAACACTAGTTTCATATTTAAGATTTTAAGAGTTTTAGGGTGGGGGGGAGGGAGCTGCATTTTTTGGTTTTTGTTTTGGTTTTTTTTTTAATTTTATTTTTTTTTAATACACAAAGAGCCTCAAGAGGAAGAAAACAATTTAAAGACAAACAAAAAAACAAAAATTAAAAAAAAAAAAAAAAGGAAGAGGCCAGGCAGCTTAAGTATATGCTTTAGTCACTTACTTAGTTCCAGAATGTTTTCGGAATAACAGGAAAAAAGATAAAATAGCAAAAGTTGTATAAAAGAATAAAGAAGCTCATACCCAAATTCACAAAACTATTTTTTAAACCAAAGCACATTTGAATGAGTATGGAACCTCACTTGGCTCAGAAAAGTACTAATATATTTATCTCATTGTTTACATAAACTTTTACAGTTTCAGACCTCAACAGATCTAGGGGCCAGTCAAAATTAATCTTTACTTTTTCCATTGGTTTGTCTGTGAAGGCTACGCAGCGCTCCCCAGCTTGGGAGGGAGACCTGTGTCCCAGCCTGCATTCCAGCGCTGCTCAGGAGGGCAGGGAGAGGGAGGGCAATGACAAATATGGCATGTAGATACTATTTTCTTTGTCTTCAACCCATAAGAGATGTTGCTGGGAATGAGACCCAGGCACTGTTGTGGTGGCATTCCAGCCTACCTCTTCCTCAGAGGAGTCTGAGGGTATCGAGAGGGCAAAGACAGACGCAAGATGCTCTAGAGACAGATATTGTCAGAAGATGGTGGGAGCTGCTGTACCCAGCACATCTCCTTACTGTTAGCCATGGGGAGCTGGCCTGAGCTGCTTTCCAGTCCTTTACTGAAAAATCCCCAAAACCAAATTCCTGGCAAAAAAAGCCCCAAAAGCCCAGCTCTGTGCATGTGGGGGAATTAGCAGGAGCCACAAAGTTCACAGAAGACACCAAAGAGCTATTGACATGCAGCTTCTGTGAAGCTTTGTGGCTGCTGACATGGAAGAGTACGCACAACTCAGAAGGGCCCCTCTGGGCAGGGCTGTGGCAGAGGTGGCTGCTCTCCCTGCGCTGACTTGGGTAGCTTTATTGGTCTGGTGTGAGGGCAAGAGCACAGCCCCTACCTGCCTCCTCCTGTTCAGAGCTGTGCTGGGGCCTGAGCTGTACTGTTGGGACCATCTGAGCCACCTCTTAATTTAACAGCTGGATCCATTCACTCCAGACTTCACAGTCACGCCCAAAGAGCCCAACCAAAACTCCTAAGGCATTCTAGGTGGGAACCTAAGCTTGATTTGCATGTTAGGACAGTTTAAAGATGACTAGTGAAGGTGGTTTGCTAAAATACTGCTGAAGCCAAAAAAAAAAAGGATTAAAAATAAGGCTCCCCATCATTAATCTTGACCCGTTGTAGCTTTTACCTTCTACACCAAAGCCACCTCAAAGATTTGAGGGGGGGCTGATGGAAAATGAAATATTAATTTTGCCTGGTCTTAATATCTAACAAAGATGGTGCAAACACTATTTGACAGTGTTGTTTTTGTATCAATATGTATGTGCAGTAATGAATGTATTTATTTCTCAGATTCTGTATGCACAGTTTTGCAATGTAACTCAGAAAGTTGCAAACACAAAGATGTGTCCGCAGGGTCTTCTCTACAGGATTTCAAAAAAAAAAAAAAAAAAAAGAAAAAATATATTAAAAAAAAGGAAAAAAAAAAAAAAAAGGATCTCAGAGACTCTCAGCATAGCCATAAACCATAACCTGTGAAGACAATACAAAGACTGGACTTTTGTAGCTTTGCATAGAAGAGGAATTTATGTTTTGCTGTATTTAAATGTTTCAATTTACAGTGTCACTCTCTTAAGATTCCTGTTTTGGTTTTTTGTTTTTATTTCCTCTCTCTTCGTGTGTGTGGAAAGCATTGTTTTCAAGCAGTGCAGGTTCAAAGTCTGGGTTAGCAGTATTTTACCGTGTTGCTTCAGTTCTGAAAAGCAGGAGTGTGGGTCTTGACCAGGGAAACATCCAGCGCACTCAGTGACACACAACCAATTCTGAGGTGAGTGCTGGCAAAACCCAGAGAAGGTAAAAGTCATCAGGGGGAACAGCTGTGTGCTTCTGATTGCAGCTTGTGACTGAGACCAGCCTCTTGTCCTGCCTGACAGGACATAGCTCCTTTACTCTCCCTCATCCCTCACTCTACTGTGCTAGCAATAAGGATCTCAGAATTGGGGAGCTGATGCCTAAGATACCTAGAGGAAGTTTTGTGCCAAACCCAACAGCCTCTGTGCCATCTTCTGATGGGCCTTGCAAACTATACTGAAGCATCAGATTCCCCGTAGTGTGACGTGCTTAGAGTCCCAGGGTCAAGCTGTACTTCACAAAGCCTCTTATTCCAGCAGTATTGGTGGAGTCAGCAGTTATGGACCTCCTACAGCCTTAAAAATTAGCATAAAGAAAGGATGTTTGTTGATTTATGGATATTTGCCAAATTCAGAAACCGTTCCTATCAGCTGTGCTGGAGTTAAGGGAAAAGCAAATAGAAAACAGAGACAAAACCTTCCTACGTTTTTAAATGGGTTTGAGAAGCTCTAAATAGCAAATATCTTGCTCTCCCCAGACAGCATAAATGCTCATCATTGAGATGGCATGTTTGAATAAACATTTGTTTAAGCAAGAGTTTAAAATCTAAGGAACTCTGAGCTGTAATTCTGGAATAATTCAATAGGCTTCTAGCATTTTTTTTTCTTAGTTTTTGTTTAATAATTTGCTCCACATCAGCAGAGTCTCTCCATTTCTTGTAAACCCCCTTTTCTCCATAGGCTTACCCTTGCAGTCCAGAACTGACCATGTTCTTGAAAATTTGGTGGTTACTTTTAATGGCTGAAAGTAGCTTGCTGCAATGTTTTAAGTCTCATGGTACTTTACTGTCCTGATTTTAATGCAGGGGACAAGCAGGCAAGCAGTAGCTTATTCTCAGCCTCTTTACATTCCTCGTACTTTGTATTTTTCAGAGTAGGAAATCTCACTTTTGATGATTCTCCATTAAACTTGCTAAATCTGCTGCTTTCCATGTAAAAGGAGAAGATCTGGAATCCCTTGTGAGGCAGTTCCAGCTCTGCTGTAAGGCTGTAAGCTGGACCTCCTGATCAGGAAGGATTCTTTCTTTCAGCCCTAGTTAATCCCTGTGTCAAAACAGAATTACTATTTATTTTGCTTTTCCTTGTTTTAACTGGACTCAGAGACACTGAAATACAAATTTAGAGCTAGAAATGCATCTTTTGTTCAGTTGTCTCCTGTCACCATCCTCTTCTTTCCTTCCTTCCCCAATTTTACCAAGTATTTTGAAGCTCAGTGTTGAACACATGGGGATCAATGGATCAGTGT